AGACATTGGAGACCTTATAAACTGAAGTCCCTTTTCCATGTATCTGTGGACTTAATCATTGAGTTTAAGAGTGCTGTTTATTCAGCAGAGTGGGCGCTGACAAGGTCTCTTTAAAAAACACAAACTGCATTGATAGCATTAGGACCTTTGAAACGTTTCAACAAGATAAGATGCTATATCGAATGCGACTATAATTACATACGATAATAACTGGTCTGCTCAGGGAAATCACTGACCGCAATAAAGCCACGTGAAATTGTCTGACTTAAAACATAGTGCTCCGTTGGTTTGGTTGCTTGTAAATAATAGACCCTGTATCATACAGAAGCCAATTTTGTAAAAGACATCAGGGGAAAAGAGGAAGGGATGGAAGAAGCAGAAGACAAACGTGGGTGATAAATTAGGAAAAAATTGGAGAAAGCTGAACTAAATTCAGGAAAAGTGTCAAGGAATTATAAGGACAGGCTGAATGGCCCCGATGGTGGTGTCGCCAACTGATGATAATGATGAAATCACCCAGAGACGGAGCTAGTCCATTAACAGGTCATGTATTTTAAATTACTGAACCACTGCCATTGTGCAACTTGGCTTAAAAACACATTAAAATTAGGACCAACCGACAATGATGAAGAACATACGCTTAATTTGCTTAACATAGTTATGATCGTGAACCTCGGGTTGGTGGAAATTATTCATCTGGTGCCAAGAAGATAAAATTGTGGTACAAAATTAGTGTGCATCATTCTTCTGTTGATTAATTAAAATGTCAATTAGGGTAACATTATATAGGCTCTTGAATCAGTCAGTACCCAGGCAGCTGGTTTGTGGTCTGTGTCTGCGGCTAGCAAATCATGTGGCTCATTTGGAAAGACATAGGAAGGATTCCGGTTTTCTCGCCATTTTAGACTTTTAAAAAAAAGGAGCACAGGTAAATTGGGCATTTAAACATGTCAAGCTGCTGACAAAATGACCTTCAGCAGAATGAGCACTGGCTGACTGCAAATTAAAATTTGGGACAGAATGCCAATAAATCAGTACAACTTGAGTTACTTTGGATGCTTGAATACGCTGTTCCTTGATTTGTTCGCACAGGTCTCAGCGGAATTCATGATTAGTATTAAAAACACAGTTCAGTGACTTTCACTGTTAAATAAACCTTTTGGAATCTCAAATAAAATTCACTTTAACCGACTGTAAAATGGAAGATGTCTTAACAACTACCATATTTTTGGGACAACCTTTGAGGACTCTTTTTCCAATATTTCCCTCTGATTTGCTCCTTCCTCTTCTGTAATATCCTGTGGAGGTACAGTACCATAGTCTGCGATCCCCGTTTGTGCACTCCTCAATAGTAGTAAAAACCCACCTCCAGCAATTCAAAGCTGAAGTGGTGTCAATCAAAGCCTTGGGGGCATGATGACAGTCCTGAGTGAACCGAAGACCACTGATTCCACTCTCCTTTGGCCTAACACATCGTTAGTCCAATATGCCATCCAACTGTGTTTCTTACTCCTGGCTCCTAATTGGATGCCCCTCGAAGGAGACTAACATCACTAAAGTGGAATGTTGCCAAAATGATTTGGATTTCTTCTCAATTGAATAAATGCGTGATTTTTTGTATCATATAAATATCGTATATAAAAATGTACTAAAATTCTACACAGCATCTGATCAGAATTTCTTTCAAATTTCCTGACCTTTGAATTTTTTAGCTCCTCAAGTTTAAATAAAACATTTATTTTTTTCCTTTTAGACTAAAGGTCTTTCTGGTAGAAATGAAATAGAATGTGAAGTCGGATGGCAATCCAGTTCCCCGTACAGCATAAGGGTGTTACAAGGGATGAGTGGATATTAAGAAAGTTATCAAGAAAGATTACACATTGGAGCTTTTCTCTCTGGAGTTGAGTCAATTGAGAGGGCACCTTATGAAGGTATTCAGGCTTATGAAAGGATTTGATAAGGAAGATGTTGACAGGCTGTTTCCACTCATTGGTGAGTCCAAAACAAGTAAAGATATAAACATAAAATAGCCAGTAATAGATCTGATAGGTAATTTTGGAGGAACGTCCTCATGCAGAAGGTGGTGAGAATGTGCTGGAAGGTTAGAGCAAAAAAGCATCAATGTATTTGAGAGGAAACTTGATGTACACAAGAGGGAGAAGGAATACAGTGGTATAGGTGAAGGGAACAGGAGCCTCGTACGGAGTGTAAACACTGGTATAGGCCAATGTTTCCATGTTGTATCAATCTATTTAACGCTGTATAACGACATACAGACTGTGGAGACTATATATTAAGCAGTGGATCTCACAGAGCTGTGTCTAGCTCAGGAAAGCTCAGAAACAGATAATGAGTGGTACCTAAATTGGCAGGACTGCCCACCCATTATCTGTCTGCAGATACTGTAAGCGTTTTTTCATTATTTTACAAATTACTAATATGTCACTATTAGCAAAATACAAACTAATGTGTTTCTGCAGCAGAACTTCACAGCTACAAGTGGAAGCTGTGTGACATAACAGATCTTCAGGCAGCTTCTGTAAATACATCAACAAATGTTAGAAATCTCTAGACCCCTTTTCCAAGTGGATATTACAGCTGAATTAGAGCAGGAATGAAAGGCAGCAGCAGACTTTAATTTATATCTGTAGCTTTACCTCTAGCTGATATGAAGGAAAAACACCCATTTAAGCTACATTCAAAAAAGATATTCAGTTCACGAAGGCCCTTTGGATCATTTATCTCATTGTTCCACAGTACTAATCCTACTAACTTCTCATTACAAGCATCCAGCTGTTTCAATGTACCTATCTGACAATTTATAAGTCAATGTACTGTCAATACTGTAAACCCATTTCATTTGGTTTCCACATATTTTCACTAAATGGGCCTGACTCTTGCTTCAGGGCTCTAGATTTTTTATACTGTGGACAGCACAGAAACTAGTGCCAATTTGTTGTTTGTTTTTGTTGTAGATTTTCACCAAACTGCTAAGGGTTGCATCTATCCCATTAAAGTAAAGGTGCATTTTTAATTACTTTTCATGGCTCATTTAATTTTGTGCAAAACCTCCTGAGTGTGAATACAGTAAGATTAAGTGGGATGCAAAAATCCCAGTTCTACAGTATACAGAAGTGAAAAGGCTTATTTGGTTAAAATTGCATTTTCATTTTTGGACTGTCTCTCACCAATCTGCAGCCAATAATTTTTCTTGCCAGCTCTAAGTAATACAGAATTGTGAAGTCCTGTGGTCTTGAGATAGATTGAAAGTGAAATAAGTTAGTGAAACCAAGTGAAAGATATTGAGCAGAGTGCTGCAGTCAGTACAATGACTAGAATGCATAGGAGGCATGTGCCAACTAAATGTTATTGCATCACTTTCAAAATAAAATGAAACAATTGCGGTGATGTAGTCCACAGACAACTGTTTGAAGGATTTCCTGATGATTAGATTACACCTAGTAATCCTATGCACTCAGCGGTTTATATCAGGTCAAGATTGCATTGCTATTTCCTGAATTAATCTATTTTCATAAATTGCTACGAAATGCCTTTCATCAAGGCTTTTGCACTATAAAATAACAGACTTTGGGTATTGAAAAAGCTGCAAATGTAACCTGGAATACTCTTTGTCTTCCTAACAACAAAAGACATTTGGTGTCCAAAGATTTCATGTGGTGTTTGAGAGCCTGTCCAACTTTGTGTTCTGTTCCACAGTTACCACATAGCTGTCTGTTCCTTCACTGCAATCCCCACACCCGTTCACATTGCATTTGCCATATATTCCAACAAAGCCATGAGTTTGTAAAAAAGGTTCAGAAAATAGACAGAAATTGCATTTTTAAGGCAATCCTATCATGACAAAGAGTCTCAAAACACATTAATAATACATTCCATTGGAGCCTATAACGGGCCTATAAATTCCAACCAGTGCTATAACGGAGTACAATAGCTGTTTTCTGAGATGAAAACCAAGCTAAGATGCACTGTATCACCTGGTGTAATGACTGCTTTGAGGAAAAAGCAAAAGCCATTTGCACCAGAAAGGTGCCACAAACTTGCATGAAATGAATGAAGAGTTATTGTGGGCAATTGTTGATCAGTAAACCAGGAGAAACATCCTTCTCTTTTCAAAAGGTCAAGGGTTCTTTAATATCCACCCGAACAGTCAGACAGGGTTTCATTCACCTATAAGTTGGCATTTCCAATAATGCAGCACAAGGATTCCAGGTACCAAGATCCTTGGCTGCTGGGTTTCGCCCACAAAATATACAGTCACTCCACTTTACAATATATTCTGTGAAGCACTTTGAAATGTCTCAACAACGTGATAAAACGCTGTATCAAAATACAAGGATTATTATTATTATTATTCAACAGACCACAGTTCATTTTTAATTCTTGAACAATAACTAAACCACTCTCTTGAACCAGTTAATTGAGTCATGTTTTCCCAACTCATGTCGTCCTGGTTGGCACTGAACTCACTGTTAAAGCACTGCGTGATTTCATGTGTAGAACTGCAGCCTGGGGCAAATAGTGCACAACATTAGCTGCTACTGTTTATTTACTGAACCAAAAAAGTGTTAGATGCAAACTGCCCATATTTGTTTGAAACAATGCAGGGAAAAAATGATAAATCATTCATGCATCAAATACATTTATTTGGAATATATTGTTTATTAAAAAAAAGTAATGACTTCAAAGACTTCTCAATATCAGAGCTGGAGCTAGATTTGAGTCCTTTCCCTATAATCAAGTCTCACTGTTAACCACGTTTCAACTGGAATCTAATCCATTGTGCTTAAGGGGATTTATTTTAACTATGATATAACAAAAAAGCTGCTTCATCCTCAGTCCAATGTCTATATATTTTTTTTACAAAATGACTTTGGCATGGGACAGATGGTCTTTTTCCGGTCCTATACATTCCTATCGGAAAAAGCCCCAAACAAATATTCAGTAAATTATGTTTTACTACGAAACATGCAGTTACTCACAGGTCAAATATGAGGTAATGAAAACCCTCTTCCGATATGCTGTCATGGAGACGTACTGGGGAGGAAAGAAAGCAAGAGTTTCACATCAGCACAGGTTGTAACATTTCTTCAAACCATTCAAAGAAAAAAGAGGGACCATCTGTACAAGCACTTTACCAATTGGTAATATTTAGTTGGTGGTTACAGGGGAAGTCATAACAGTACCAACAGCTTGCATATACACACAACGCTCTTCTCTTAGGATTACGTCTCAGAATGGTTCACAGTGATATGGTCGATCGTCATGGAAAGTAGAAGGGGGAAGAGGGCCACAGGTGCAGTCAAAGAGGTAGGTTTTAAAGCGGGATTTTGAAGGCTCAGCCTTTAATAATGCAAGGAGGCAGTGGGAGAGACACAGCAGCCCAGAGTAAACCAAGCAGAGCAGTGGGGAAGTGCTAGGGCATGAAGAAATTTGTGTCTGAGGGTGAGGACTTTGAAGTTGATCTATTTGGAGATAAGGAGTTAGTGGAGACTGGTGAAGCTTGGGGTGATGGGCAAAATAACTTGAATCATGCACAGTCACAAAATCTATTTGACATGTGCAGCCATTGTGTTTTTTCTGTGTGAGAATGATTGTTGGGGAAGTGGCTGGAATATAAGGAAATATTCGAACAATATTACTTAATATAGATGCTTAATGGTATTTTTGGTGACTTTTTGTTTCTTAAAAGGTCACAATTATATCTTGCCTCTTCTTTCCTCCCTCCCACTCATCACTGCATTTCAAAAGTGAAGCTACTTCATTCTCGCACACTTTTATTTTGCTGCTGTGCCTAGCACAAGTCAGAAAGCAGCCAGATTACCTCCTGCTCTCAAGCTTGTTCCCAAAGGCATATAGAAGTGAAATAATCTGTCCAATTCTACCCCTCCTTGAAGCACACAGTCTTATAAGCAGACACAATGTATTTAATTGCTTTTTCTCCAGAGACATAGCAAATGTCCCCTGGAATTCAACGATCTGAGACAGTGGGGAGCAGACATCAATCCACTTTTATTAGGTCCCTGATGCAAAAGAGTATTATGCACCAATTAAATGTCTACTCACAGACCTGCCCAACATATACCCAAGCTATAACATATTATGCAACAATTCTTTTCAGTTAACTTCCCTGTAAATTCTGTCAGGGTTTTGGTGTGCTCTTCAGGTAATTATTTTTTTTTATATAGCTCTAGAGATTCAGTGCTGAAAAGGTTAAATTCCGACGTGGTCCAATGTCGCTGCTCACTGTTGTAGCGATGATAAGAGAACTGCTTTTGAACCTAGGCCTCAGCTGGAATTCATTCCAGGCTTTGTAAACTGGTAAAACAAGTACTCCTCAGTGCAACTTAGAATCCACATCTGGGCATTATGTGCTCTGAAGTGTGCACGTGCCTTTTCTGAACTCATTTCAAAATACACCTCACACAATTAATGCGGTGCAAAATTCAGGAAGAGAAAGAAAACAAAAGTCATTGATTTTGAACAGATCATTTCAATCAGAATAGAATCCCATCTAAAGGACAAATCGTTGCACGTTGTTGTTTTGCTAAATTGTATGGCTAGATTTTCAAAAAAATAAGGAAAATAATGAGTGTAAAATAATATGAATGTAAAATAACATAAGCATATGCATCACACTAAAGAAAGAGGGTCACCAGCTCCTGTGGTCCATTAAATCAAATATTTCAAAAAGTAATTTAAAATTGCTTTAATCTGCAATTGTCAGTGTTTGAGAGGGAGGAAAAGAGCCTAGAGTGACTCACATTATGTTCAGCACACTGATATTACAGTTTGTTTCTGTTAATTTCTTGCATTTGGTTTTGTTTTAATAGTGAGGACTGATGGCATGGATTAGTCATGTTGCATGCCATTCTGTCCGCTGTTAGGAAAAACACAATGTATCCCAACCTCATTCTAAGAGCAAGACGCTCGCAGCTGAGACTGTGAAATGAAGAGAGTAGAGTTCATAATCACATTATAAATTTATGTCTTTATTAATCCACTCCTACCAATCCACCCATCTTTTATTCTACATTTGCTCTCATCTGCATTACAATGCCAGAGGTGCAAATCATTACTGAAGGCAGTCAGAGGCCTTCACAGACTCATTTCAGCATAGGTATATAACAGGCCCAACTCAATGTTATTGATAGTAATAAATAATGTAAAACTCATTCCACTATTCTCAATTTTCTTTTGACATATTGAATTGTCTCTGATGTCAATAGAGAGAGAATCTCTTTCCCTCCTAGGCTCTTCTGTACATGCAACAACCCTTAGCCTCAAATGCTGTATTCATCCTATCATGGCCACTTTGTATTGATAAATATGACATTTGAGTCTGAATGCATTCAAATTACAGTGAATTGAGGTGGGACTAGGATGAAACAACACCAAGGGTTTATCATGTCTCTAGTATCTAACAAACATTCCTCTGTTACTGCTCTGGCTGCATGGAGGACACTGATTTGTTCTAATATGATCTCCATATGAAAGAGTCTCCTAAACATTATACCTTTCAAACAATCCGTAACATTACTGAAGTCAGAACATGTCTTTGGCAGCATGTGCCGATGAAGAATCTCTAACATTGCAAGTTTATCACTATCGATGGATTTTAAAAAAATTAAACTTCCTAATATTTTCTTGCAAAGTTATTAAAAACAGAGATACTCCCATTACTCCATTGTATCCTCCAGAGTACACTGTTGAAATTGGAACTCATTGACCCCTTCCAACTACATTGATTCTTCTCAAGGATCTTGAGACTGGGGAACTCCTTACTTCCCTTGGTTTCCTCTTCCTTTTATAATCTGCAAAATCCTGAAACTCTTAATTTAGTTTATTTTCCTTGCAACTCTTTGTAACCTAGGTAGTGCCCTATCTGGGAACTGGGATTTAGCCTTACACCAAGGCATCTCAATTTTAAAAAAATCAAAAGTCAGAAATGCACACACTTGTGATGCTTTGCCATCTCCAACTACATTATCAACCACTAGAACTTCCCCAAGGACACAATTTCTGACTGTGCACTGGTTTAGCAAGCGTGTGAGTGGCAGATGCAAGGGTTCTTAGGTTTATGTTTTCCACCAGGCTTTTCATGTTCCCAGCACAAATGTTGTTGTGAAGTTGAATTCAAGTGAGTGACTTATTTTGCGGAAAAACTTTAAAGTTCAAGGTCAGTGTGTTTAAGAGTCCAGGAAGCCACACCACAGGGGCAGCAGTACATGAGACAACTGTTTGCTGACTTCTAACCTCAAGGCATTGTGTGACAATAATTCACTTAACTGTCACAATGTGGTTGAAGCAGCGGGGAGTGATTACAGCCAAAAGATAGACTAATATTGATTGGCTGCCACATTCTCCCTCTTAATGTTAAAACGATGCACTCCGGCCTTTGTTTCCTGCATCACAACACACAGCTCACTTCCCGCTCGGTTAAGTTAGCTGTAATACCATTTGGTATTAAAAGGGGTTCTAATTCATGCAAAACTAGTTCTAACATGGAGTCCTGTTGCTCAGTGGTTAGGGCACTCGCTTTGCAAGCGAAAGACCTTAGTTCAATTCCAGACAGGGCGAAACCTTGGGCAAGTTTCCTTACTCCACACGCCTAATAATAATCCCTCCAAAACCAAAAACAATAATAAATTGGTCATTTTCAATCTACGACTGTTTGTGGGACATTGCTGTGCGCAATTGGCTGCCGCGTTCGCCCACAAATATACAGTCAATTCACTTTACAGTGTGTTCTGTGAAGCACTTTGGGACGTCCTCCTGATGTGAAAAGCACTATATCAAATGCAAGGATTATTATTATTATTATCTTGGAGTGACCCATATCAGACTGCATAATTCTGTTCTATCAATTACGACATTAATCATCAACTTGCATTTTACTGAAGCAAAATAAAATGTTGACCTTAAATGGGAAGTGATCCTAGAAGGGGTGAAATTAAATTTTATGTACAAATCTGGAGGTGAATGCAGACCAGTGATGCAACAGCTTTTTCAGATCATTGAGGTTGTGTCTCTAAGTCTCCATCAGGTGCCGGATTGATTGCTCCATGCAATGGGAGTACATTGCAAACATAAGTAAACATTCATAATAATAATAATCTATGCATTTGATATATCACCTTATCACGTCTTCGAGACGTCTCAAAATATCTCACAGAATATACTGTAAAGTCACAGTCATTCAGCAACAAAGTACACAATCACTATTGCATTTTACAGCGAATCCTGTGAAATGCTTTAAGATGTCCTCCTGATGTGAAGAGTCGTATATCAAAATCAAGGATTATTAATATTATTATTTATTATTATCTCAAGACGCTCCTTTTCAACTGCAATTTTGGTCACCCTCCTACCCTACCTGCCCTCCACCCTTCCTGATCCCAACCCCCATCTCGGTCGAAATCCTTGACTGTCCAGAGCCTTGGGACATCCTCCTGACTGGAAAGGCGCTATAAAATGTAATTTGATGTTGTTGTTATGAAAATTTAATTTTCAGTTATTAAGACTTTTTGACCCCCTGAAACATGCAAAGTGCAATACTAAAATCTTGCCGCAAAGCCCTTGAACATATGTCACCAGGCCTTAGTATAGCAGCTGTCCATAGCTATTTTGTCTAAAAATGGAAAAGTTAGTGTATTATTATTAATCCATCCAAGCTAATGACTCCTGGTGAAATGGAGGCAGGAATACATAACAGAAGGGGTGGAGCTTCTCACATTACTTGGATGTTTCTGTGAACAAGAACTGTGCGTTCTATTTCCGGCAATCTCACATGGGGAAAAAGAAGGATTGGGAATTGGCTTCCAACCGCAACCAGTTGGACGTGCGTTTTCATCGATCACTCTTTCATTAATCACTGCAAAGGGTTGAGGATTTGTCCGCAAACAGTTCCGTTGCACTGCAAAGCCCTCCTGTGTTCAGAAACGCTTGCTCCATCTGACACTTGACAAGTGGTATTTTTAGACACCTCGTGCAATGGCTTTTGGCCATTGACAGCTGCTAAAAATTGCAGGCATGTG